ACAACTGTTCTTTCTGAACAAGGGCTCGTTCATAGATGCCCCTAGAAGTGTGGCCGCCCACAAGGCCACGAGGAGCGACGAGAACCTATAAGAAGAGGTCAGCCCCAGAGCTCTCCTCGGGAGGCCAATACCCTCTTGAGTTGATGGCAGCTCCCTGGCTGACGGGTGCCGCCACCGAACCCCCACGCACACGCTGGGCAGCTTGGAAATTCTCCTGCTGCTGGTCGAGGCCATTCGAGACCTCCCGGGGCTCAACAATAGCACCCTCCTCCTCCTCTTCTTCCTCCTTCTCCTCCTCTTCATCCGGGGAGCCGAAGAGACTCTGATAGGAGCGTCGAGTCTCCTTCTCCTCGCGGAGTGGAGACTTAGAGGCGGTACGCTTCTTTGAGGGCTTGGCGCCTTCGGCTTTAGAGGCCTTAGCGCGCGCAAGACCCTCGGCAAGCGAGAGACGTTTGCGAGGATTCTCCTCCTCATCGCCACCGGCTTTGGGAGTGCCCTTAGCCTTAACGGCCGGACTCTCAGAGCGCACAGAGGTCCTGGGACTGTGATCACCGTGATCACTAGCGAGCGACTGCACGCTGTCATCTTTGTGCTCACTGGGCACTGGGCTGTGCCCTCCCACAGAGCCCGCAGGAGCATCATGAGTGCTCTCGGACTCGGCATCGTCTTCACTGCTCGAGTTGAACTCACGTTCTACGGACCGGGGGGTCGGACGATTGTCTGAAGACGAGGGCGACGGACTGCGGCGCCTGCTTGCGCGCTTGTCCACAGCCGCGTCACCCGAGGATCCGATCGCCTCGGAGGCCACCTGAGTAGCCTCCTTAAGTGCAGAGCCTTTGCCGTGAGGCTTAGTGCTCTTGGCTTGCGCCTTACCGGCAGCAGCCTTGAAGCGTGTCTTAGCACCGCTCTTAGCAGTGCCACGAGGCATGATAACGGTCGAGGTGGAGACCTAGACGAAGAGCGCACAGGTTGCTGCTCGAGGCTCATACTGTGAAGTGAGCCTCCGCCGCGCTCGCGCGGCCAAGTCGATGGTTTTCGACTTTGAGAATGAGAGTTTGTGACGAACACCTCTTCATTCTGATTGGTCGGTAAACCGAACCTAAGTGGGGGAGGATGTAACGAGGTACGTAGCCCTAAGTGTACCCTGGTTACATGAAGTGTGACACTTCACACTTCAGGAGTATGACACGTCATACTCCGGGATATTTGGTACAAGGTACCAAAGTCGTTCAAAGCCAACCATTGGTTAAATGACATTGCATTTCTATAGGTAACTTATAGTTTGTATTAAACCCAAACTTAACCTACCTATAAATATACTCAGTTTACAATCTACCTTATTTAGGTCACTTCGCTCTCTTTAATTAAAGAGGGGACCTGTGAACTGCCGTTCACTGAGAGTTTGTATACTCTCGGAGGATAACTTCCTCTAGCGCAAGGTGCTGTGTGACCCCGTCACAGTTCGGGTAAGACAAAGTCCCGCAAACATAGTGGGCCGGTACGTCGGATAGACCGGGTGCCGTAACACCTCTATCTGAGCAGCCTCTGCCCTGTAAAAGCGCTCGCGCGCCGTCGTTCATCCTTTGGTGAAGGGCACAGGGTTGTGAGCGATCTCAGCCGAACCAAACTCGGCGGAGCCTCGGAAGTGCTCTGACTTTGTTAGTCGGAACTCAGTGGAAGTGAGCCACTCGTCTGCCCCAACTGAGCCGAAACGTAAGGGGACCACCCTCTGCACAGGTCATACAAACCCCGACCTAACTCGGCGATTTGTTGTGGTTTGTGTAAGGAATCCACATCTGACGGTATTTATGTGCTCTACTACACCACAGATGTCGCTCTCGCGCATCAGGATCTGGCAGTACCCGTCTACCGAATCCAGCGCATTATACAGTACGCATCCGGCCATGTTGTTCAGCAACACATCCTTTTGTGGGATTGGTATCTGGGCCGGCACCGTCGCGCTGTTCAGCTTGTTATAAGCGTGAAGACGCCACTTTCCGTTCGGCTTCCAAACGCAAAAAATGGCGTGAGTGCGGGGACTTTGCTCCCGCACCATGCCTGTATTCGCTTTCGCAGCGAAGAAGGCATCAATGACCTCGCACTGTTCTCGTGGAAGAGGTCATTGTCTCTTGACACAGTACTTTGTGCCAGGCACGAGATCGCTTTTATGCCGTACGCCTCGATCCGGTGGGAGTTGGGTCGGTGGGTGCTTGTTCATTACGTCCGCATGCTCCGTCACCAAATGATACACCGAATCCTTTGGGCTCTTAAGGATCTCAGAACCCAAGCGCGTCTGACACTGCTTGCTCAACTCTTCCAGGACGTATTCGTCAAAGACAGGGGAGAAGTTCAACTGCCCCCGAGTGGCCTCAAGTGCTATGAGCACCATCTCGGCAATCTCACCAGCTTTGAGCTTGACCAGGAAAGACTCGTCATTTCCTCGAGGTTTAATATCTCGGCAACCTCTAGCAACGGTTCCAAGTGAGCACCAGATGCCTTGATTAGTAAACCGGTCTCGCCATCGAAGATGTGATAACACTCTTCCACCGGAAGCGTCGGAGGAGCCCGGGCCCTGGACTCCGAGTGTGACGTCGACCTGAACGAGGTTAAGATCCGACTTCCGGCGGCGGCGTCGTCGACGGCGACCGTGACGTGGATCTTCGTTACCCACGTCTGGGGATGTCGTGATGTCGACATCAGAAGGCACACGAGGCCTCGTGTGGAACTATGCTACCCACACAGGAAACGTATCCAACGTCTTCCTCTTCGGTCAAGGTCTGGACGGCACGCTGTTACCCACCTCGAACACGCTATTGCCAGCGTTCGTGACAGCTGCAGCTGTCTGCGGAACTATGTTACCTGCTTGTGGACCTAAGTTGCCCACTTGGCCAGCGCCTCCTAGCACCGCATCCATCGAAGCATCCTCGGAGTCATCATATACGTCGACGACTCCCAAGCATATGCCGCATGCTTCGGTACCCTGGCAGCCCTTGCGGGCACCATGGGCCCTGACAGAGGTGGGAACATGACTCACCAATGCTCTGTCGGAAATCGCAGGGCGGCCAGCACCGATTGCCTTGCCTCTCCAGTCGATCCAGGGCTCCTGCTTCTCAAGCCAGGGCATGCCCAGGATCAAATTGTAGAGATCCATGTCGAGAACAGTAAACTGTTTTGGACTGTCGAAGTCTTTGAGCTTGACGACCATATCCATTTGGATGTTGGGGACAGTGACGACCTTCCCGTCGGCCAGTCGTACTGACACTGATCCGTTGCCTTTGCTTTCTCTCAAGTCATCGGACAACTTGTTGCTATTACGAGCAACCGTCTGGCGGCATGCGCGATTTTTCGACGCCCCAGAAGCGATCAAGATTCTAAAGGGGTGATCGTATCCCCGTTCAGATCCGTGTACTACAAGCAGACTGCCTCTGCTCTTCGCCGATTTGAGAGTGCGAAGGCTCTCAGGGGCTAAATCCCCGTGGTACGCGCCACCCGCGTACCTCTCACGAAGACTTAGTTCCTTCCCAGTAGGGCGCCCCGCCCCTACTGGTCTCCGGCATCCCCTGGATCCGGGATATTGGCTTCTGCCAGCGATCCTTGAGGACTCCCACATCTCTTGGACGTACTCGTGCAGCTCGCGCCTTCCTTGTTTGAATGAGAGGAAGCGCGAGCTGCCGGTACTCGTAGTTCGCCGGGAGGAATGCGACTCGAAGCTGTTCGCACAGCTGAGCCCCGGATTTAAAACATCCAGGCGATGTCGCCTCCCGCGTGTACGCCTAACGCCTAACACGACTGCTAAGGTTGGAGAGCGCAAACGCAATGCGGAGTTTCTCGGTCGACATCAGAGCCACGTCCATCGCAACATCTACCTCTCGAACCCAGAAGTGAAGGTTCTCACGTTCCTTCCCTTCATACGGCTTCACCTTCAGCCGTATTAGCTTTGGGTGTGGCGGACTTGTTTCCGCCGCCGGAGCCTGCAGGTTTCTCCGCACATGTGCGATGAGCCCTAGCTTGTAGGCGTCAAATGCCTTGACACGCTTGAGCTGCTCGGCCGGTGTTGACGCGACCACGCTCTGCAGGGCCCCCTTCCCGAAGATGCCAGCCATCTTCCGAACCGACTCGAACTGTGAGTCGTTCAGATGGGAGAAGTCGTTCCTATCCATGGCGACGAGCTTCAGAGAGTTTCAGGGTCTACCCGCGTTGGCGTGGATGGACTACAAGTGCTACCAAGTGTGACGGAGTCACATAGCACATTGCGCTAGAGGAAGTCGGCTTCCGAGAGTATAGAAACTCTCAGTGAGCAGTAGTTCACAGGTCCCTTTTGTCGAAGGGAGCGAAGTGACCAGTTTAAGGTAAGTTGTAAGCTGAATGTATTTATAGATAGACTAAGCTTGATTTTTATATGCAAACTACACCATTTCAGGTTCGTTCTCCCCACCGCAGGAGCTCGATACAACCACCCCAGAGCCGACTTGCCCGTTCAATACACACAGGTGTCTCTTTTATTTGTTTTGCCAATTACTGCGAAAGTACCAACTTTTGCCATTTCGAGACCATTCGAGAATTCAAAGGTATCCATCCATCCATCGCTTCGCCTCGGGCCAACTTTCGTTTTGGCAGAATGGGTAACACTTACCCTGAAGACGTTCGTGCACGTGTCCTCGAGGCAGCGAAGGAGGTTGAGAACTGGCGATTAGTAGCAGCTCACAACGGAAAGATATGGAGGTAGGAAAATGACAAACATTGGTACTTTCGCAGTAATTGGCAAAACAAATAAAAGAGACCTGTGTGTATTGAACTCAGGCATTGGGTGTTTTGAAGTGAGATTTGCCCGGTCCTATGTGCAAGTCGGCTCTGGGGTGGTTGTATCGAACTCCTGCGGTGGGCAAGCAAGAGCTGAAATGGTGTATAGGTCACCCTTCATGTAACCAGGGATACACTTGGGGTTACGTATCCCGTTACAATCCATACCTAACGTTACAGTGAAGCTTTGTTGTAATCCAATGGAGAACCCCTGGTACCATGTACCAGGCATTCCGAAGAGTGACAGGTCACTCTTCAAGTAAATTGGGAATCTTGTTACATAGACGATCCCAAAATAAAAGTCTTACGGACGTAGCTCACCAAATGAATACTCTCATTAGTTAAGAGCCTCTAGATATTAATTAGCGTCGATTTTGTGTCACTAGGACCTAAAATGGGGGCTAGAGGTAATTTTGACTTGGGTTTGTATCAAGCTTATCGGCTAGAGGGCATCACTATTTACGATATCACACCAAAGAGGATTGTCTGGGCTTCCCGTACAGAACAATAGAAACGGTTCTCGAGAATGCTAATCGACAGGTTTTCGCGCCACCACTAATAGTTCAAAACCGATTTCCTCTTCTTCCGCGTTTCAATACAATAATGGGTCGTCGCTCTGCCTCACCGCGCCGCAGCCGAAGCCGCAGTCCACGCCGTTCTCGCCCGCGTAGCCGCAGCAGTAGTCGTGGGGGACGTAATTCACCTCCACCCAAGCGTTCTCGTTCGAGATCCCGTGGAGACCGTAACCGAGGTCGATCTCGCTCGCGTTCACGTGACCGCCGACGAGACCGTAGTCGGGGCCGTGACCGTCGTGGACGCTCGCGATCGGCGGATCGCGGCCGTCGTGAACCCATCAGCCTTTTGGTGCGCAATCTCTCGCCCGATACGACGGGGGATGAGCTTCGTCGCGCCTTCTCGCGTCGTGCGGGCGACATCCTGGACGTGTACATCCCCAAAGAGTACAGCAGCAACCGCCCCCGAGGCTTCGCCTTCATCGAGTTCGCTGACGCTCGCGTGGGCCGCGACGTTAAGTTCGAAATGGACCGCACGCAACTCGGAGGCCGCGAGATCGCCGTGCTTTTCGCCAAGCAGCACCGCAAGAGTCCGCAGGAGATGCGCCGCATTCTCAACTTGCCGGCTGAGGGATCGTACGTACCGATACTGGAAGTCTTGATACTAGTACAGTACCTTACCATTATTTTCTGTCCTAACTCAGGCCTAAACGCTCTCCTCGACGCCGCTCCAGTTCGCGCTCGCGCTCTCCGAAGAGGTAGCAGATCTGTACTGAGATGGCGATATACGGCTGTACGTAGTACTGACATAATATAAATTGATATCTATGCAGACGCAGCGTCAGCCCTGGAGACAAGCGAGACTCGGTCTCTCCACGTGCTTCAGCCTCTCCACGTCGTGACTCTTTGTCCCCCAAGCGGTGAGTTGGATCTTACTTTTACTTAGAGGGGAGATAGTCATGGGTGATATTGTTTTTTTAGAGAGGAATCCAGCTCTGCGCGCAGTCCGCCCGCTGGGTACGCACCTGTTAGGCTCTCGTGGGTTTTATCAGTGCTAACGATTCCGAGATTGTTGTTTGTCGTAGTGATGTCAAGGGCGATGAGACGATGTCCGAGGTAACCGCTGGACTCAACTATAGGCGTTGGGTGTATATTAATACCGGTTATTGTTGCAGTGAGCTGGAAGAGAAATTTGTTCATAGTAGTATCGGTATTACCGGTGCAAGGGACTGTTGACAAAAGGAGACGGTCTGTTAAATCTTTTAACGGAGCGGGTCGGCTGCTGAAGAAGAAGATCAAAAAGCCAAGAGGAAACAAACAGGAACGGGGGAGAGAAGCCTTGCATTTTAACTCGATCAAGAATGTTTCATGACGATGCTTGCGTTCGAAGATGGTGCCGCCAAGGTTCAAGATGGCTGGCGGTGTTTGTGCTGACGACGGGCAGGGACAGGAACCTCAGGGATTGTCATTGCTGTCACCTTTGGCGCGCACGACACGATCTTCACCACTTTCTGCTTTACGGATAACTCGTGGCAGATAGCCAGAGGCTACGCAGGTACGCGATTTTCCCCCACAAGTTACCTTATTTTAGCGTCTTTTTTTACCACACGACACCCATAACATGTGCACTGCCCATATAAAACAACCCCAAACCGGCAGTTATTTTAACGCAGTCAAAAGTGAGCGAGACCGTCATTTGCAGGCACTGTCAAAGTTATGGTCCTGCGATCTCCGACAGCTCACGCAATCGCTTTGAGGCTGCTTGGGTTGCAGATAGTCGCGTCAACAACCTGTTCGTATAACACCTTGCGAGTTTTCGACAGCAGCCAGGACCGAATGCCTTTCTCGCTCGAGAGCTGTAACCTCTGCTTTAGCATGATAAAGTTTCTTCTCCCAGGCAGTGGAGACAGCACTCGCTTACTGTGCCCAATTTCGGATTGACTAAGGCAGGAAACACCACAAAGGAAAAGACTCGCCTCGACCTCATGCTACAGTGCTCACTCGGAAACGCGATCTGACCGAGTTGTACGGTGCTCAGCCAGAACAGTTGTCGTCCTCGCCGATTGCTTATCCGATGACTATAATATTCAAGCAGGAGACCCAATAAACAGCGACGACGCGAACGATGCCTTAACAACCAAGCGTGCTACCGAACAAGACAACGCGAATTCATCCGTGAGCTCCAGGATTGTGTCGAAGGGCTACGCGGATAAGTGCAAACACTGTCCGGAAAGCGCCACACGTTGTGCTACGGCGTCCAAACCAAGAACAACCTTTGGAATGTCGCTGTGGAATACTTTCGCCTCTTTCGATACGGGTATCTCGCACCGCTGAGTGAGCTCAACATGGGTGCGACTTCGTCGAATGATGCCTCTTCCCCGCGCGAACCCAATCTCAGAGATAAAGAGTGGTTTCTTCGGTCTGCGATGTCACCTGGCGTCACGATCGGAGAATTGAGTGGCGTGGATGCTCTTATTGAACAGTGGCGACGCTATTCCACTTACTTTGGCCATCTCATTTTCCAGCTGAAAAAAAGGAGGAGCAGCCTCATGGGGCTTTGGTTGCATCTGCCTCGCTGAGTGTTACCATCACAGAAACCTCTCTGCGGCGTGTGTTCCCACATCTGTTAGCAGATTCTGGTGCTAGGGCCGAAGACTGTGGGTTTGTCATGCTGTGGAATCGTCTTCTCGGTCAACGACTTAATTGTAATTGCTCCTTGCGTTTTGTATGGGATGATGCAACTGGGCGGGTGATCCAACTGGACTGCAAAATCGACCTGTTAACGTCGTTGCTCCAGCTGCTTGGCAACCTTGTGGATGTCAATCGTGTGCTGGAGATAGCCTTGATCACGCCTGCCTATTCGATCTGTGATCTATCGACGAGTGCAGAATAAGGACGAGCTGTGACGCTCCATGGATTCGATGCAGTTTTTTAATACTGCTGCGTCTGTAGGTGTGCAACGATTCTAGTAGCTAAGCCTGAAAAGACACTTGTCATCATTGATGGGGTTGTATTCATCATGATTTACGTAATAACAGAGTGGATTATCTTGATTTTCTGCTTTAGGTGCAATGTCTGTCTGATACACAAGTTAATTAACATGGGCTATAATTTCTAGCCTAGAAACATGGGCACAGTCCTTCTAGGCTATAAAATGGAGGGACATTCCACACAATAATACATGTTTACAATACAAGTTGGCTGCACTAAAGTGGTACCGAGTTTTTTTATGGGTTATGAGTTGACGTGCAGCACTTTATCATTTTTTAAAAGCGCACAAATCTCGGATTGCTTTTTGAACACAGTAACAGTATCGTTTTCGTGTGTTCGAAAACATAGGTGTCGAACAACGAGCTAAAGCTGGCTATTGTAATCGTCGTGACCGTGGTCTCCTTGCGTCAGAACACCCACTCTCTAATCCGATAACACGTGTCAATTATCCTCCGATGAGAATCATGGGGCGGTTCTTTGCCTTCGAAAGGCCATACATATCTCCATGACCACCAAGTGCGAACTTCTTGCGTTGCACTGCCACATCGACGATGTCGCGGATATCTTTGTTGCCAAAATTGTAGCGCATCGCGTCCCTCAGACTAACCTCCGCGTTGCCGAACAGACAGACCTTCAAGTTCCCGTCGGCAGTGAGACGAAGTCGGTTGCATGAGCCGCAGAAGTGCTTGCTCATAGACGTGATGAAGCCGAATTGTCCTTTGAATCCAGGTACACGAAACGCTTTGGAGGTGTCATTTTCTCCGTCCCGCAGCTTTTCCACTGTCGGGAATTGAGCCTGGATCAGCCCCATCATCTCCTTGAACGGCACAAAAGTCTCATCATTCCACCGATTGCTATCGAATGGCATCCACTCAATAAATCGCACATCCACTGCGTGCTGCTGCGTGAAGGCCACAAAGGCGACAATTTCGTCCAGATTGAAATGGCGTTGTACCACACAATTTATCTTGAGCGGGGAGAAGCCCAACGCCTGTGCTTCCAGAATCGAGTTCATCACTCGAGCAAATCCCTGGCGCCTTGTGATGTGTGCAAACCTGTCCGGTTTCAACGTATCCAAACTGATATTCAGTCGGTCCACACCTGCCTGTTGCAATGTCAGCAGCTTCTTTTGCAGCGTGATACCATTGGTAGTAATGCCCACCGACTCAATACCAGGGATCGCCCGCAATTGAGCCACAAGTTCCGCCAAGTCGCGTCGAAGCAGCGGTTCTCCACCTGTCAGTCTGATTCTCGTGATGCCGGAAGATGCAAAAACCTTCGCCAATCGTATAATCTCCAATGTAGTCATAAGGTTTTCTGTGGGTTGCAGTGGCACTCCGTCTTCGGGCATGCAGTATCGACAGCGCAAATTACAGCGCTCAGTCAGTGATATACGCAGATAAGTGTGCGCGCGTCCAAATCGATCTAACAATTGCGTTGTCTCCTCCTCCCGAGGCTGCAATGCGCACGCCCACAGTCCACCGTCTCATAGTCAGTGACTGACACAGTCTCATTTACGTGCATCCCATGATTCAGTCGTACCTCTTGTCGGATTTCTGCCAGCATCTGACGGATTTGATGCAGTGTTTCGTCGGAGCTAGATGCTTTCTCTTCTTTGGCTGCGCTACTGCCGGAATGGATACACGTCCGACTGGTCGTGAGGAAGTCTTGCAGTCTCGGCCCTTCCGCCACTTGACGCTTCCAGTCGGCACGCGTACTGAAGGCGACACTGCGTTGTAAATGTCGCGGTAGGGAGCAGACCGAGCGCTGCATCACCTGCGAATGAAAACACGGTCCAAACGATGAAATTTCACTTTTAAGTTGCAAGAAAAAACCTATTTCGAAACATAGTGAAGTGAAGTACATTTGCGCAAAACTGTGTCCCGAAAAGAATTGTACACAAGCAAGCGTCAGAGTCAATTCACTGCACCATAATCATCTTCCAGTCTCTGACGTAGCAGCAGCCTCTTTGTGAGCTTCGCCCAACGCCTGAGAACCAGCTTCTGATTATGTGCGAGGGCCTTTTCAATGGTCTGCTGTTGCCTCTCAGCATGAGCGTCCAGTAGCATCTCCTCGTGGCTCGTTGCCACCACAACACCCGACATTTTGGGCATGGGGCGGCCGTTGCGCACCTCGAAGCCCACGACCGCAGGCGCAAAGTCAATACCCAATGACTCGGCGATGGCGTCAATGCGAGGAAGGCACAGATGCACAGCCCCTCGAGGGATATGAGCTGGACTCCAGATCTCAATATTGCCGTATTTGTTCTTTGGTACCCGACCGTCCACCATCGGCGGAGGCTCGAACTCTACTGTCTGCCACAATCCAAAGAGGGCCAATGACCCATTAGATTTTCCTTCCTCAGCAGCGCCGTCACTGTCTTTGCCGGTATCGTTGCCTCTTGCCTGCCACTTTGCGGGCTTTTGACGCTCGCTCTCCTTCACTTCTCGACCGAGATGACGCCACTTGAAAGCTGACCGAAGTGGCTGAACATGCTCACGAAGGAACACAGACTGGCCTTTAAATAGTCCCACCACACTACGGGGGTGGAGACACTCGAAGTGAGAGAGATGACGCTCCAGAACGTACATGTCATGCTTCCTGAATCCTTCCAGACTGGTTGGCATCCCTTCTGCAAGTTTCAGGGTCTCCAACTTTTCCTTTTCTTCTACAAGAGCCTTTTCCATGTCTTCAGGTCTTGACGTCGCTCCATTTACAATTCGCTGGTCACTTGTATCGTCATTAAGCCGCTCGATCACTTGCTTGAGCCACGAGTCCGCCAAACGAAGCTCCAGACTCTTACTCCACTGTACAGTATACCGTGACGTCACATCCACCACCAGTCCGTCGTCCTGGATACTAACCACGTACGAGAGACGTGCTGCTTTACCCCTTTGAGACTCGACTTCTTGCGGCCGATTAACTAGTCGACGCACCGCGTCAACATGAATCCAATTCTGATTTTTCTCATCTAGCACTTCGCACCACAGCCAAAACACTCGAGGAGTCTTTCCTGTGCTCTCTGGCTCCAAGTTGTCGTCGACTTCCCGCTTCGCCTCTGCATCCCCTGACAACGCTTTCTTCTTCAGCCTACCAGCCCCCTTCTGTGCTCTTCGCCTTCGCTTGTTTGGTCTTTGTCTAAACGACGACTCGAAAGCCTTCCCTCTCTCCACCAGTAACGGGTCCAATGGACAAGTAAGACGGTAGCGCAGTTGGAGTGCTCCACACAAGGCAGCAAAGAGTACGGCCAGCTCGTAGTCTTGTCCTTCTCGAGCGAAGAACACGTTCATCAGACTTGATCCAGTCATAAATTCGCCTTCTGTTGCGTCCGCCTCCTCCTCGTCAATTACTTGAAACTCTCCAGTGAACCATCGAACCAGCAGCTCCAACGAGTACGAAAGCGGCTGCAGCTTCATGTCAGCAACGAAATCGACGTCACTCGTGGCTGTTAGAGATACCAGAAGCCCTCGTAGTAGCTGCGAGCGACTGAGTTGAGTCCATTTGATGCGAGTTGCCAGTAAAATCAGTAGATGCGTCTGGTGCAACGCCTTCTCTCGCTGTTTTTGGTCCTTTGTGAGGCGGATTGGCGGCCGCCGCCTTTTTCGAGTGACCGTCTCTGCATCTTCGTCTGCCAGCGACAGATTCACCTGCTCCCAATCAATGTCCTGCAGGTTTTGCGCTGGTTCATACGGTTCGTCTTCAGGTTCATCGTCGACATTTGAAGCGATCTCGTGGACCAAAGAGGGGACGTTAAGGTTGTCTGGCTGGGGTATCATGTGGCACGAGGGCTGCAGCGACGGACCAACGTCCTCCCAGTCCACGCCTTCCTCTTCCTCTTCGTCATCGTCTAGCTCGCCTGCAGAGTATGCGAACTCCTCCTCGGACGCCATGACTGGGCGATCGAAAGTTCCGTACCCCGTGTGTCCCACACAGCCCCGTAGCTGTAATTGTTATTAAAGAGCTGGAATGTCTCAACCAGCTTTATTCCGCTAAGAAACACAAAAAATGACATCCAGCAGGATAGCTCCAAACGACTGGTTTCAAAATTCAGCTCTGGGTTGAATTTTGATTCGTCCTCCTTTGCGCCTTCAAATCCAGATGGAACACGATCACTTATTTTTATCTTTATTTTACTTACCAAAACGACTGTTCTACAGCTACAGTAGCTTATTTTCAAACAAGCTGGATTTGCCCCTGCAAACCGAACACGGCCTAAATGCTGTCATCTTTACACGATCAGATACTAAATAGAAGTATTTATAGTATGGCACTCGCTGCTATATCGACATAAAATGGACGAAATCTGAAAAACACATGTGAGCTTAGGGCTAGAAGGTACCGGTATGACTGTCGGTATGAATCTCCACGAGTTTGTTTTTCCTACAATTGGCCCCCAGACCAACTATAAACCAATGTAAGTCTATTACATAGGTGACGAATACATGTTATTTTTTTCAACAATGTCAAATAACTTTTTATTCTAACATAGGAAATGTGTCGGAATCCCCAACGTTATAGTGCAGACTGATACACGCAAAAGAAGAAATAGGATTAGAAGAAGAAGAAGAAGGGTGGGGGCGGGCGCTTTAATATAGATTAAGCCGTTATTTATTATTAGAAAGTAGGCATTAAAAAGTAAGAGAATCCATTTTTCTTTGTAGCTACTTAAAAGTATTCTTGATCTGCATCCCGAAGAGTACATAGCAGAAGATCTTGTAGCGAATTCTCTCCAGTTCTTTCTCTGACAATGGTTCCGTACCAGTAGATACAATCTTGTCTGGTGACAATATGTATGTTGACACGTAGTAGTCGAACCAGTGAGCCACATATACGCCACAACTGAATCCGTCTTGTTGAAGCCATGCGCGAAATTATCGAATCTCCAATTTGTAGGCTGGGTCGACTAGTTCCAAAAATACGTTTACCACCTTCCTTTTCACCTCATCTTCGTGTTTTTTCTTGTGAAAGGGGTCGTAGATCCAGATCACGCGTCTCTAAATATCAATTATAACTCCACACCAATGTTCGTAGTCGATATTAATGTAGATTGGACACAACATTGCTAAACCATCGAGACATTTGCTGAAAAGCTCTTTGTGTCTAAGAGTCGATTGCGCTGGTCATCATCCTCGAAAAACGAAAACGTCGGGTTGATTACGTGAATATTTGGAGGGGATTCCACGATGCCTCTGCTGCAATTCGTTGCGTTGCGCTCATCAGACACTGATCACTGAGACATCCGTCGTTGCCAAATCTAGCAAGCTCGGCAAATTTCACGGACACTCCACGAGAATTAACAGACCCACGTAGATCTAGCTCTAAAACAGTCTCCACAATCGCATTTCTCTCTTCCTCCTCATCAGGATTTTCAAACTTCACACTTTTAATCCATGATACCAGCGCCTTTGCCCCACGAACAACGGATGTCATGGAATGCCATTGCTGCATAAGTGCAATATCGTTTGCCCGAAATGTCCCCACCTTCAAACTCACCACGGCAACATCGTCATGGGAGACATCCCTCCCATTGTTTGCTTTCTTGCGGAGTATCACGTTTTCAATTGCAGTGATACACTTCTTAACTAGCGCAACTACAATTAACGGTTCATATATATATATGTTAGTTTCAGTTTACACAATAGTTGGTATCGTGTCGTTGGTAATTGGTGCAGAATTGGTATGTGGTACCCGAATACCAATTATAGCCCACTGCTTACCCATTAAACCAATTTTAAATCAACTATACCAACGCGAGCACAAGATAGCAAACTTACCAGGCAGAACACCACGGACTTTGGTTTCACATGCGTCACTTGACGAATCGGTAAGCAGCTTCGCCTTGGGACGCTTGAAAACCGCATCTGCATGCATTAGTTGGAGACCGCTAAACACGTCTTCAATCTCATAGAGCGTAATTGCCTCGTGCAGCGCAAGCTTGGCGAACTTGGCGAGCGTAACATCCCCTTGAGATAATCGATCACATGAAAGTGACACAGGATAATAGAAGCCTCTGGAAATTCAGCCTCGAGTGTGGATAGCTCGGTAAAATCCTTGTCAATAACTATGACTTGGATTTCCTTCCAGCATTCGTTGTTGATCTTTAATGCAGAAATTGCGTTTTTCATGTTCTGTTTAGTTTCACCATCAATCAGTGTGAAACAGGCCAATTGTCTTGTCCGGCTGTGGGGCAGGTCGTACAGCTGCACCGTGCTGCGCTGCGTCGTTCGTGTCTGGCAGCCGATGACTCACTGAAATGTACTCTTCTGTTGGCCGACAGAAGCCACTTAGTTCCTGCGCCGGATCGTCCACTCACGTGTCCGCTCCTATTTATATTCAGGTAGCTACTAGCCGACTTGCTAATACTACTTCGAGTCCTTCTACGAATTCTCACACTCCTGCCTTCGTCCGTCTCACACAACGAAAACGTCGGGTTGATTACGTGAATATTTGGAGGGGATTCCACGATGCCTCTGCTGCAATTCGTTGCGTTGCGCTCATCAGACACTGATCACTGAGACATCCGTCGTTGCCAAATCTAGCAAGCTCGGCAAATTTCACGGACACTCCACGAGAATTAACAGACCCACGTAGATCTAGCTCTAAAACAGTCTCCACAATCGCATTTCTCTCTTCCTCCTCATCAGGATTTTCAAACTTCACACTTTTAATCCATGATACCAGCGCCTTTGCCCCACGAACAACGGATGTCATGGAATGCCATTGCTGCATAAGTGCAATATCGTTTGCCCGAAATGTCCCCACCTTCAAACTCACCACGGCAACATCGTCATGGGAGACATCCCTCCCATTGTTTGCTTTCTTGCGGAGTATCACGTTTTCAATTGCAGTGATACACTTCTTAACTAGCGCAACTACAATTAACGGTTCATATATATATATGTTAGTTTCAGTTTACACAATAGTTGGTATCGTGTCGTTGGTAATTGGTGCAGAATTGGTATGTGGTACCCGAATACCAATTATAGCCCACTGCTTACCCATTAAACCAATTTTAAATCAACTATACCAACGCGAGCACAAGATAGCAAACTTACCAGGCAGAACACCACGGACTTTGGTTTCACATGCGTCACTTGACGAATCGGTAAGCAGCTTCGCCTTGGGACGCTTGAAAACCGCATCTGCATGCATTAGTTGGAGACCGCTAAACACGTCTTCAATCTCATAGAGCGTAATTGCCTCGTGCAGCGCAAGCTTGGCGAACTTGGCGAGCGTAACATCCCCTTGAGATAATCGATCAAATGAAAGTGACACAGGATAATAGAAGCCTCTGGAAATTCAGCCTCGAGTGTGGATAGCTCGGTAAAATCCTTGTCAATAACTATGACTTGGATTTCCTTCCAGCATTCGTTGTTGATCTTTAATGCAGAAATTGCGTTTTTCATGTTCTGTTTAGTTTCACCATCAATCAGTGTGAAACAGGCCAATTGTCTTGTCCGGCTGTGGGGCAGGTCGTACAGCTGCACCGTGCTGCGCTGCGTCGTTCGTGTCTGGCAGCCGATGACTCACTGAAATGTACTCTTCTGTTGGCCGACAGAAGCCACTTAGTTCCTGCGCCGGATCGTCCACTCACGTGTCCGCTCCTATTTATATTCAGGTAGCTACTAGCCGACTTGCTAATACTACTTCGAGTCCTTCTACGAATTCTCACACTCCTGCCTTCGTCCGTCTCACACTCACGTACGTCTCCTCGCTCACGTACGCTTCCTTGCTCACGTCCGTCTCGCACTCACGTACGTCTCCTCACTCGTGTACGTCTCCTCGCTCACGTCTGTCTCGCAATGCCTCGTCAACTCGCCGCACTCGTGTACGTCTACTCGCTCACGTCCGTCTCGCAATGCCTCGTCAACTCGCCGCACTCGTGTACGTCTACTCGCTCACGTCCGCCTCGCACTCGCCACTTGTGTCTCACGGCGCAAGTTCCCAACTGAGCCAATCTCGCGGTCGTCGCACGCCCTTAAGTGAGTCCAAGCTCTGACGTGCTGGCTGACCCAGTGGTACTGCAATGTCACTCACTTCGTTCTGGCCCCCTACATTTCGCATCCAAACGGCCGTAAAGCCAGTTCTGCCCGTCCGGTCTTCCATGATCGCGGAGTCGGACGTGAACCACCTGTGCTGCCGATCCACCGTTGGACCATCTGCGTCGTGGCTCACACCAACCGCTGATTCGCTACACGCCCTCCTCCAACGCAGAGTCTTCCACGACTCTGCCGGCTGCAAATAACTCGTCATAGACACCGCTGGATACCCAGGCGTTGTCGCCGTCGCTGAGACTGCATCGCCCTTTTTGCAGCGGCCGCAGCGCATACTCGAGCACATAGTACCCGGCACTGTTACGTCGCTTTCGCCTTCGAACTTCCACCAAAGGCCCACTCGACTCTCGCAGCTCCATCTCGTCTTCAGCTCCTCTTGCTTTCCTCTTTCGGCTTCCAGCAGCCGTGGCTGCATGGACATGAGCCGTCGTTGCTCCAGCAGACGCTCCTGCCGTCTCGGCATTGACGTCACGCCCACCTTGATCCTCGGGCCGGTGGTCTTCTTGATCTTCATCGCCTAGCTACTCCACAATGTCGTTCGTCGCCCGCTTCAACAGGTCCACCGGGTAGTGATACGAAATTAGAAATGACACGTGAGCTATAAATCGCTCCGCCTCGCCGTCCTGATCCTCACGCTCGATCAAGAAGTTCTCAAACCCAGCGGGCTCAATGATTTTCATTGGCCCTGCCCACTAATGCACAAATTTCGTCGACTTAGGGCCTCTGGGAGGCCGATACATCCACACTCGGTCACCTGGCGCGAACTCCCGCCGATTCCTCACGTTGCGGTTATAATACCGCGCCTGTCGTAGCTGCTCACGTACCCGTGCACGCTC